AACAGTAATGGAATTCACTAGTCCGGCCAGAACAGTAATGGAATTCACTAGTCCGGCCAGAACAGTAATGGAATTCACTAGTCCGGCCAGAACAGTAATGGAATTCACTAGTCCGGCCAGAACAGTAATGGAATTCACTAGTCCGGCCAGAACAGTAATGGAATTCACTAGTCCGGCCAGAACAGTAATGGAATTCACTAGTCCGGCCAGAACAGTAATGGAAGTTCAAAACAAGAGATGACCAGACCACATTGTACAAGGAGTCTCCACAACTTTCACCTGGGTATTAAACATAAGTAATTATACACTTAATGACAGTATTAGTAAAACCTGCTACCCCTTTTATTTGGAAGTAGACTAGTCCTATAGAGTACCCTGCTACCCCTTTTATTTGGAGGTAGACTAGTCCTAGAGAGTATCCTGCTACCCCTTTTATTTGGAGGTAGACTAGTCCTAATAGAGTACAAGTAAACTGCTCTGGAGCTGTTAAGCTTTCAATCCACCAAGATGATAATGATATTACGAAGTTTAAGGATCCTTACCCCACCGCCTAAGACTGTAACAAGGCAGTACAGTGTCTCGTACTCTGGCATTCATTTCTGACAGGTTTTTGACGACTCATGCAGTTCTTAGCAATGTGTTTATTTACCATACAGCAACTGTAACACATACCCTTCTCCTGCACGAACGTTTTTCGTTAATCTATTGGTTTTCTTTGGAAGGCTTTACAATTGTTGAGTGGACAGATCAGGAGAACTGTGTCTTTTGAGCTCACTTCTGTCTTACGCACGGAAATGGATCCTGTTCTATAGGGTGATCTCAGTGGGTTCTTACTCTTTCCTGGCGTGCAAGCGGCTTTACCTTCTGGTTTAGATGAATGATCAAAGCTTGGGTCATTTGCTCTGATGGCGTGATCGCCAATAAAGTCAACAAATACACTGAATGGGGGATACATCACACTCTTCATTCTCTTATGATGACTAGCATGCTCAGCTTTGTGACAACTGAATTGACTCCGGTCAATGAATCATACGACGACATGAGGGTTTTGTATGTATCCTACTCCTAATGATAGATAGGATTTTTGCTAGTAGGTCTGCATGTTCATAGAGACACTTCAGGTTAGTGTTGGGTATTTTGGGTAATGATGCAAGCTTCTGTCTGAGCGACAATTCAGCTAGTTCGGGGGATCCATACCGCTGCTTAAGTCGAGTCCATATCTTGGTCAAAGCAAGGTTTGGGTTAGTAGCATTGGCAATATGCAAGCTCTCAGCATGACGTCGTGATTCCCGTCCAAGGTATTTGACTAACAGGTCTATTTCCTCATCAGCACTGAGGTTCAAGTCCTCAGAGATATTACTGAAGGAGGCCTCCCATGTGAGGTATGCTTCTGCTTTGTCGTTGATGCTGGAGATCCCACTTCATAAGAAACTTACTAAGATCTGACCGAGTGCTGTTTTCCTGAATAGTGTCCTTAATTGATTGGGAGCACTTCTGGTACTTTGATATTGTTTGTCCAACAGGTGTAGGATTGTGTAGCTGAGTGTTGGGCTCTGTCTCCCCTTTGTTACAGGTATGATGAGCATTGCCATTTTCATCAATAATATTCTGAGGGTCTTGCATTCCAGGAGGGGAGTCGGCAAACAAATCCGGAGGAGGGAGGTCACTAAGGATAAACCCTGGGGCCTGAGGTCGCAGTTCAGGTTAAAGGTGTGTATCATGCGGGATATCGTTAAATGGACTTACACTGGGTTCCTCCTTACTCCTCAGGGTTATGTTTAGGCCGGGACTCTGGGCATGATGGAATGGTTTAGGCTGGGTAGGTACATGTGGGATATCGTTAAATGGACTAACACTGGGTTCCTCCTTACTGCTCAGGGTTATGTTTAGGCCGGGACTCTGGGCATGATGGAATGGTTTAGGCTGGGTAGGTACATGTGGGGTATCGTTAAATGGACTTACACTGGGTACTTCCTTACTCCTCAGGGTTATGTTTAGGCCAGGACTCTGGGCATGATGGAATGGTTTAGGCTGGGTAGGTACATGACTGTCAAGAAATAGCTAGACCTTACTGATGAGGAGAGCTCTTTAGCATGGACATTAAAGCCTCTTTCTCTGCAAATAAAAGCACCATGACATAAATTCACTTGGGCAAGTGAGCTAAAACTGGATATCCTTAACAGAAGATGTAGGTTCACTCAATAGGGTATCAAAGTGATTTCTCATCTGTAAAAGGCCTGTCATATGTTTCTGGTGGTTATAGTTTCGTATAATTCCTTGCCTCCGCCCGTAAGATTTCTAACCCTGGTTTCCTTAAAATCTTGACTTACCGGTGGGTCTTCCATCTTTCTGATCGTTTCCGTTCTGTTTGCTGATGATGGCAGGGTTTCGCTGTGCAGTAACAACCAACAAGTAGGTGTAGTCGATCAATTAATGCCGTCACTGTCTTGTGATGAGACAGAGTGAAAACTGAAATACAAACAAAACATGTGACAATTAGGCCAAATAAAAAAATATTATGTTTCCGCTAACCCTACCTTAGATTTGTGTGTCTTCCCTGAATTTTAGTAACATTTGCTGATATGCATTGTTTAAGTCATAACTCTGGCTCTATATGAGCCAAAATTCCCAAAATTAAAAAAAAAAAACACAAAAGATGATAGCAGATACACAAGCAATTTTTCTTTTGGCCTTACAGTGGTAAATTTCTGTACAACAAATCAATATTTTAAACTTATGCAAGAATTACCAGATTTGCAAGTTATTACTGTCTTTTACATTGAAATCACTCATAAAAACCTATAACTTTTGTATCAGAAAATATGGGTAAGATGTTCCATGATGTTGCTGGTTCATTTTTCTGCCAGAAAGTTTTCATGTGTTTTTAAAATGAGAATCAGAGGTCGCAATATCTAAAAAGTCCAGAATTTATAAGAATAGAACCGAAACGAAAAAAGTCCTGAAACTGAGAGGGCACAGAACATAAGATTTTTTTATTTGATTTCAGAGCTTGAATTTTGTTATGGAAACCAGCTGACCTTTTGATTATAGTAAACAATGAGAACATCACAGATATTATTCTAAAATGCTACAGAAGTGAAGTTCAAATTCACTTTTTCTTGGAATCCACTGGTGACGTTTTTGCCCTAAGTCCCATGCCTTCACACTTAAGTTTTGTTTTGCCCTAACTATATATATTTAAAACTATAAAAAATCATGTTAAATGTTGTTAATGATTAAAAACTTTCTGTGTTTCAATTTCACAAATAAGTGTGTAAAGGGAAGCACTTCAGTGTGTTGAAATCCGGTCGACCATGTATAACAACAAGACTATAAGGCTCACTTTAAATGTGACTGTTTACACACAACGAAACAGTCTAGAAAAAGTATTTCAGTGAGAAACAACTTTGCAAATATGACTATAGACCTTCCTAGCCAGCACCCAGATATCGGGCCGACATTGGGCCGATATAGGAGTCCATATAGGCCCAGTGTCGGTTTTAACGGCGGGCCGACATCGGGCCAGCTTCCATTTGCAACACCTTTTGATGTCGGCCCGATATCGGCCCGATGTCTATCCGACGTATATCCAACCTAAAAACCATATTACTCCCAGTATTTGGACAACCTATAGCTATGTATGTTGGCCCGACGTTGTCCCAACATTGGCCCGATATAAATCTGCAGTCCTCCATATCGGCCCAGTGTCTGTTCTAAGTACGGGCCGACATCGGACCAGCTTCCATTTGCAACACGTTTTGATGTCAGTCCAATATCGGCAAGTATATCGGCCCAATGTCTATCCGACGTCTTTCCAACATGAAAACCATGTTCCTCCCAGTATCTGGACAGCATGTGTATGTTGGTCCGATGTTTTCCCGACATTAGCCCGATGTCAATCTGCAGTCTTTCAGTACCGATACATTAAACTTAATTATAACCATAGTTTTGAAGTTTGAAATCATCCGTAGTCTTAACAAGTTTGTAGCGTGTTAACTAGTTTTTTTCATTTATTACATATTGTTTCTATATATACATGCATACTTATAAATCGAAGAAAAAACAGCAATATATGAAAACATGAAAATATTAACATTAATATATAATATAACTAATCAAGCCGTTCTCAGTTGGTTATCGCTATGCCATCACTAATTCCGTTAAGAACTGTTTAACTTTCCTCACAGCATCTGAAATAAATAGAAGTGATTGTTAGTGTTATAAAATAAATTCATATATATACTATATATACATATACTACATATTCTACATTAGTATTCTTTGTGAGATATAAAATAAACAAAAAAAAGAAGGCATTGACGTTTTTAGGTACAATGTATTTATCTGATTGAGTGAAATCAAATATAAATTTGGTAGACATTATCCTCATTTAAAGTTTAAAGTGAGTTGAATGACTACCATGTTGCAGCCGCCATCTTTGTATAGACAACAGCATCAGCACTGCAAGGTAAGATAATCGGTAACTTTAACACCATTCGTGGCAAATGAATGAAAATCTAGAAAGTCTGGATGATTCTGAGTTTAAGCATAGTTATATTTTGAGTACTCACGATCTATTTAGTCTAAAATACGTAATATCCGCCGAGTCAAGTTGGACAGTCCCTCGCTAGTGGTGACCTGCCGTCTGCTTTTGGCGATATTCATTCCAACGTTTATGAATGTTCATGTGGTCATTTTACAAATGTAGACAGTCATGAAAGACTTTATTTACTAGTATCAGTGTGTAAAAGACAATAAGAAGGATATAATATGTGCATTTGTAGTGTGCACTACATTAACAAATTATTAAATAGTTCTGCGCAGAAATGAGTGAAGCGGTTACATATCCTCAAGTAAAAGTAGCATAATCTCTAAACCAAAGTCTACATTTCCTTACATGGAGATTGGAGGCATTTGGAAGCAAGTTTGGAGGCGCGAAGTCTTTAAAAGGCCGCCGCCTTCCTCATTTCGTCAGCATGAACCGCTGGTATCGGCGGGTATTCTTACACCGTAGCTTTATCTAGGTCCTCAAGGCATTATAGGTAAATTGTTAAGTTCAAATATAGTGAAGAAAATAATTTAGCATTATTTTCCATTAATTGTCATTATTTAATAGTCAAAGCTAGCTTAGCTAATACTCTGAGACTAGTGTTCTCATAGTATTAGAGGGACTGATTACTCATATCATTCCCTGTAAATCTCTATTAATTATCATTAATAATCGTTACTAATTAAGTCACTGCTAATTGCTCATTGTTTCTATTAACATTTCCAACTAGATTACCAAATACTTTGAATTTAAGATTCTCATAGTAATTATTTTATTAAATACCTAAGTTGTTCACTGTTTATAATTGTTACTAACTTAAACTCATAACCCCACTTGTTATTGAATATATTGGTTTCTTTATAGTTAAACAAAGTTGTTATTACATGATAATACATAGTTCATAGAGTGGAGACTGGAATTATTCATAGAGAGAGTGAAATCACCTGTACACAACATTAATACTTATTTGAATATTAAAAGTATATCTATTGAAATTTATTGGTGCCTTGAGTTATTTATTAAAACTGGTGCTAGTACCAGACAAAGGACATGACCTATTGACCTGAGACTGTCTGGAGGAGCTAACAAAGAGATGACTGGTTGTACCAGACAAAGGACATGACCTATTGACCTGAGACTGTCTGGAGGAGCTAACAAAGAGATGACTGGTTGTACCAGACAAAGGACATGACCTATTGACCTGAGACTGTCTGGAGGAGCTAACAAAGAGATGACTGGTTGTACCAGACAAAGGACATGACCTATTGACATATGCGACATATTTATTTACTGATGCAGTATTTGAAGTGCGTCAAAAGTACGAGAGTATGGTATACAAATGAGGCCACACCTCATTGCCAAAGGACAAAGGCCTTAAGGGTCATTTCCTGCCGCATCGAGGATTTTGAATTAGTTGTGATATTTGTTATCTGGAATAAACGAAGTATTGAAATATCAAATATCCAATTCATTCAACGACTGGTTTAGGAGATATGACATTACAAAGAGAGACATAAACCCGCACTTTCATGATAAAATGCATGAATATCGTCTGCTGTGTGTTATTTGGTTGAAAATTGACCATTTTGAAGGAAATTAAGTAAACACTCTTCAATTTTTGAAAGCCTTCGCATGCAACAAACAATATAAAATTTGACATGCTTAAACATTGTCAAACCAGTATTCATTCATGAAAAAGAATTTTTGTTTGTCACGTGCGCAGGCCTTCATTTCTGCATGCTAACTGTCCAAAACACTATATTTCGTCTATTTCTACATAGCAATGCAATTTTGTTGCTATGGTAGGTCATATATACGCATGCGCATTGGAAAAAATGTGCACCAAGAAAGATAGCCCCAATTTACCGATATGATGTTAAGGGCTTTCCACCAACAGTTTACATCTCTACTGTGGTGGGTAAACATCAGCCTTTCTTTGGCATGGCAAACACAACCGATATAGACAAAAACCTATTTCAATTCATCATCCTCATGTACATAATTGACGGGCTATATGACGACTTTTACGGACTACATTCGTATACAACACCGCCCATTGGCTTCATATATTGATCCATTCTTTCTCCGACGTCATTTCGCACTCCGGGAATCCCCCACTACTCAGTCAGCTACTGTAGACTTGCACTGGTTATTATTAGAAGGCCAAATCAGTCGATACAGGGGTGAAAAGCCCGCCAAATTGTTAGTCAACAATTTCTAGTTATAACAGAAATTTGTAAATAAATTCAAGTTGAAATTTTTACTTTTTTTGATGCCAAAAATGACCCATAACGCCCCAAGTCCTTTCCCCCACACCAGCAGCTAAGGGTTAATCCAAATAGCAGGCATACAGCTGGCCATGTGGTAATGACCTGTATCCTGTTAAATGATGATAACCATTGCGTACAAACAAATGAATAAGTTAAATAATAAACTAATTCTTCTTCTTCTTTCTGTACAAGCAACAAAACCCAAATGATTGAGTGTATTTGTTGCTGTGTGAGTTCCGAATAATTATGACATCTTGTAAACTATTAAACAATTAAATAGAGTATCTTTGTTTTTAAATAACAGGGAACCTCAAGTTTACATCAAACAGTTACAACATTACTTGTAAAGGTTGCTAGGGCAACATGACTACACGCTAACAGATATTTTTTCTTTTCAATATGATAAGCAATGATAAGACATTCACCAGTGATAACATTGGATTCTGAAGGGCTGTACCTGATCAAGGTCACCTTGTGTGATTTTAGGGCTGTACCTGATCAAGGTCACCTGTATACAGGACAATCAGTATCCAACTACAGGTGAGACACTGTGACTGTCCCTTCGTCAGGAAAAATGACAGCCACAGGCACAATTCCATTTCAAAACAGTGCCTTTCTTATTCTAGTGCAAACAAGAGGTCCAAAGGACCTTTATCGCTCACCTGGATAATTAAGCAACCATGGGGAAATATTCTCATTGAATATAACACTGCAACTATATGTATTTTTAAAGATTGGCTCTGTCTTGCAGCAACAACGGTCCTCATTGGGTCCCTTTTTTCTGTCCCCATGTAGTGGGGTTGACTTAAAACAGCAATGTCAATTCCCCTTTTGGGCCCGCCCCTCTGCCCAAGGGGGGCCACACCCTCAGTTTATACAAAATTAAGTCACCTTTGCCCAAGGATGCTCTGGAGCAAATTTATACTGCCCAGAACGACTTTAATGACAAGAGGCCCAATGGGCCTGCATCGCTCACCTGGTATTGATCTCACAATTGTAACCTTATATTAAAAGTGGACTAAAATAAAGCTACAGACAATTATATCAGTGTCTCCTGGCTCAAAGTCATTCAAAAGAACCTGTTAAAAGATTTAAACACATTTGACCCCTGTGACCTTGAAAGACAAACAAGGACATTAATTTGAACAATTTTTAAAGCCCTTCATCCCAGAATGCAAATTGCCAAATACAACCATCCTATACCTTTTGTTGATTGAGAAGATGACTATTAAAGAATTAGACACAAATGACAAGATGTGACCTTGAAAGTGTGTCAAGGTCATTCACATGGATAGCTCTTCGTCTGAGCACACTAACTCAGGTTATATATCACCATCCTTGGTATTTTTGTCATTCAGAAGAAGCAATTTTAAGAGACTTAGAAAAAGGAGGAATATGTAGCAGAACTGGACTGGGACGATTGTCGGCTACCAGATGGTAGCTCAATTGATAGAATGTCCCTCTATAGTTCGGAGGGTTCCGGGTTCGAACCCTGGTCTAGCTGTGCATTTTTCCTCTCCAGTGAGTGTTGCACTGTATAATGTATTCACTCACTCACCCGTACCAATCTCATTGAGCAACTGTGATACAATTGTTTTTTTAGTTCTAGGTCTGATGCTATGTCATTTATCAAGACATTTGGGAAAGGCAGATACATTTCTCCTGCGCGGTACCATTCCAAATCCCCAGTTTCACAAACATTCCTCAATTTATAATGGTGACTCCTTAACTTGAAACTTTCAAAAATAAAAGCATTGCTAAATTTGAGCAAAATGATCTTAACTTCCATTAATATCAATCATGTTTTCATATGGAACTAGAGAAAGGGTGAGCGAACTCACAAAGATAAAAATAAAGTGTTTTTTTTAAAAGTACCGAGACTGATTAGCCCGTCAGCTTGAATACGTACTTTCACTTTCGTTTTAGTTTTTTAACATTTTTCATCCTAAAAAATATTTTGAGTTCATTTTTGTCGTCAAAAATGGTGAATTATGATTTCCATCTGTGTTAACTTACTTGTTTACTGTCGAACACACAACTATGATACCTTACCTAGATAGATCTAACAACAGAGTACGTGGAGACGCAGGTCTGCAGGCACTTGTCCTTTCTGCGATCAGTGGTTTAGTTTCGTATTTATTTAAAACTAACACTTGGGTAAATAGGCCTATTGCATTTATCACACACTGGTAAATACATTGATTAATTATAGTATATGTGTTATTTCTATTATTTGTGTTACAAAAATAGCTAGGATTTACTTTACAAAAACCTTTATGCGAAACTACCATTTTGAATTTTACGCCAGTCCATGACATTGACCTCTAAGAAAAGGAAACACCGCATCAACAAACAGCAAGCATGGGTGGTAAAGGAAGTACGCATGTTTTCCCGAAGGATGAACACTGGTCGACTTACAAGATTGATGGCATCAAAGGCCTGGAAGAACACAAAAATAGCCTTGCTCGGGACGGGTTGAAAGATCCGTGGATCAGGTAATCTATACAGTAATGGCCGACGCTGCAATCCGCTGTAGCAGCCGTGACAACATTGTCATTGATTGCACAGGGGCATGGGCCGCTTTACTTGTAATATTAAAAAATAGTGTTCTCCTCTATTAAAAACGCGACCAATGCCCCTGTGGTTAATTGATTGAATATCCTACTAAATGTAATTGTTTTAAGATGCAACACACATTTTTGATAAAACAGCTATTGAATCAAACGTAAAGTCGTTTAACGTTACAGTAGTAGTAGTAATCATATTAATATACGCAGGAGCAGTATGGTCACCATACAAACTGAGATAAGTAGACACACTGGAAGGACGTTGTATCCGCTCCAGATATCAATACTTTTGTGGCAGGTTTTAATTGTAGGATTACGGTCACGACTCGCCTTCTAGCGAGAGGGAATTTCTGCATTAGCTCAGTGGTAGAGCGTCCGACTAGGAACCTGAATATCGAGGGTTCGATCCCTGGTGGAAGCGCACTATTCTCTTTCCTGTTAAGAACAGAATAGATAAATTTTGGCATCTTTGATATACAGATTAATATTTAGTAACATAAATCATTTCTGTAGCCCGAGTTCCTTCTGGCCTTAGCTGACACGAGACTTACACATTTTGACAGATAGATGTCTGGTGGTAAGAGCCAACAACTATATCTAAACGTGGAATTCTCTGACACCATTTGGTATCGGAGAGTTTTGAGGTGCTGACAACAAAAATCTACTATTGACACAAGACATACCTCACATATATTGATAAATGGGTTATTTATTGGTCCAAATCCGCTCATATTATCACCAACAGCTTCTACATTCCGTCGGTAGACGGCTCTCAAGTTTGTTCAAATTAATGACCTTCACCTTTATACAGGGTCGCAGGGATCAAATTTGTCAAAGAAACGTTTACCACTTCTGAACCAAAATACCTAGAGTGATCATAAATGGCCAGTAGCAGGCTGAAAGAAAGGACCATTTAGTTTGTTGACGTGAATAACTTTGATCCATTTTCAAGGATACAAAGGTCAAACATGTAATAACCTTTTAATGACTTCTCAATAAATGATCTTCAGAATGACAAAGGGTTATACCTGGTAGGTAATGATATTGAGTCTGAAGCTTTATATAGTCTGTTTAAGGTCATAGGAGTGTATTGATAAACGGAAATAGGAAGTACATCCCTAGTTGAAAATCCAATGTATGGAGACAATATCACAATTGCCACATATTCTAATGTTAAATAGTAAACTGATGAATATATTGTATGATTATTATTGATAGAACAGAGTGTTCTCTTAATATTAAAGTATTTCAAAGCAATCCAGGCATTAATTCAGTTGTTTTTTATCAATGAGTCACATGTGTCCATTTTTCTGTACTTCAGGAAACCGGCTACCTATTTCACTACTGTGAAGTTTTTCAAAATTCACTCCTTTTTACATAAATTTCCATTTAAAATCCTTTAAATTCTGACAACCTATTTTTTTTTGTGGCAGAATTTTTTCATTACTTCAAAGCAATATAACTACAAAATTTGAGGAAATTCTATTGGGAAATGGTGACACAATCCTATTGCCTTGAATGTATTTGACCTCAGTCCGCTTCTAATGTAACAAGTGTTGATATTAATACTAGGTGAGCCATGCAGGCCAATTAGGCCTCTTGTTTTATTTTAGGAATGAGGTAAGGAGATTCTGAGAAGTTTATAAATAGATGTAAGTGTGAGATAATATATTCCTTTATTTTATTTCAGGAATGAAGTTTGGAGATTCCGAGAAGTTTTGCCCACAAGTAGATTTGGTTATATGCGAGTTATTGGTTACGCAGCGGTAGTTGCCACAGTTATGGTTCTCGTGAGGAATAACGTGGCTCCAAGGGACAAACATAACCAACCTTACCTCTTATAAAAGGAACGAAAGAAAGAGAGATCATTTCCTGGTACCATTGGCTTTTATTTAAGGATTTGAAATACAAATAAAATAACAAGGAATTTGACCTGCTAGAGGTGGGTTACAGCTGTATTCTTTTTGGAAAAAGAATGGGAGATGATTCGTTTACAGAATGGAGACTATTTGTGCAGTTTTATATATACGTACAAAATTGTGTGTATTAGCTAAAAGGATTGAATGGTTGGTGAGAGACAAAGACTAGTGTAAGACAACAGTGTATTATTTGCTGTAGGACGAACCAATGCTCCAGTGGATTGTGACAAACATCGACTCCTCGCACAAAGTTCTGGAATTAGCATGTTTCTTCATGGCAGTTAATGTTACTTCAGATTCTGGATTAAATTATAAATAACAAATAAATTTGTTGTTGTTTTGATTTGAAGTATAATTTCATATACATGTCAAATATTGAAACTGTGGTTACAGGTGCTACAAGTTTAGGCAATCAGGAGCTACATTGTAGTCCAGATTATAGGTTGATGTAACTAAAATGCCATGGGAATGATAAGATGATTTGTAAAAACCACTAAGACATTATTTTTAGAGTTTCTTGGATAAAATGCTTTCAGGTAAGTCTGGTTTGAGCCAATAAACTACCTTGACCCATGTTTAAGTTTAAAAGTCGAAGGTCATCCAAAGATAAAACAAGGTCTTCTTAAGAACAACGAGGCATAGAACTGTCTATATGTGTTTATTAGCTCGCCTTCACCTGGCCCGAAGCTCCCTATGTTTGAGCCTTATGAAATTCACTAATTAAACTTACCTTGACTGACTTCAATGGTCACAAAGCTCAAATATGTTAAAACACTTTTAATGCCTTCATCTGCAGAACCAAAAGGCCTAGAGTCATAATATGTTACTGGTAGATTTCTGAGATAGAGCCTGAAAATTTTGCAAATAATAAAGACCTTGACCCACTTTAAAGGTCACAAAGGTCAAATTTGTTAAAACCAACTTCTAAAGAACCAATAGGATCAGAACCATATGTGGCTGATAGATAAAGACTAACAAAGTTTGCAAACAAAAATGACCTTGACATACTTTCAAGATCAAATTTGTCAAAATACATGACTTCTTCTGAAAGGCCTATAATCATATAAAGTTTTCAAACAAAATAAACCTTGACCACTCCACTTTCAAGATCACAGAGGTCAAATATGTCAATGCCTAGAATCATGATATGTGGTTGATTGATTCCTGAAATAAAAATCTGACAAAGTTTGTAAACAAAAATGATCCTCTTATTTGTTTGGGTCATAACACAGAACTAGTTCAGATCACCACTTCATAACCAAATGTGCACTAGAAGAAATGGCTACCTTCATGCTACTAGGATTGGACCTGAGGTCCCGCCTCGCCCTTTAGTATGGGAAAGGTTGAGACCCCCTACCCTATACAATCTTACCACCAAACTCGACAGCCTGCCACTTAATATTAATAAGGTTGAGGTCACCGCGTGCTGAAACATGCAGTGTTTGTTGGTTTAGCGAAAAAAAAGGCAGCACTTTCAGCCAATCACACCACCGGTCTCGGCACGCGGCTGACGTTATTTACAGCTGAGTAGACTGAAACAAGCAGAGTAAAGTATCTTGCTCAAAGACACAGTGCCGTGCCGTGACTCGAACCCGCAACCCTTCGGTCACGAGCCAAGTGTCCTACCACTAGACTACCATGCCTCCACGGTAGATCTGTAATTAATATTCGTATCATATGAACACGATGTTTGTTCATTGAAAAATAATGTATTAATAGTTTGATTATAGCTTGGCTCGCCTGCTCAAAGGGAAGTAACGTATGCCATGCCGTAATACGTCGCTCGTCGTCTGTGTCGGTGTGTCCGCTTACTGACTTTTAAGACTTATTTGTCCCGAAAAGCTGAATGGATTTCTACTCCAACAATGTTAGAGGTTGTACACGGCGAAAAACTTTTGACAGGCGCCGCGTAATCTCTAACTGCCCATAGCTGATTTTCCCGATGCTGACGATCAAATTTTCAAAGTTCGGATTTAGAAAAAGTATAATGTGTTTATATACATTTAAATGTTCAGCAGGGTCCAATAAATGTTCCTTTCCATAAATCCATGATTAAATGAGAAGAATTTTGTGTCAAAGACATAAAAAATAAGTTTTTCCTCTTTCAAAGTGAAGCAGACAACATTTAAATTCATGACAAAATGAGAATAAAGAAAATATTTACATGAATACCCTGGCAAAAAGTACAAGGGGAATAAGACCAGGTTTCTCATCGACATCATGTAAATCTTGGTCCAATCCAAGTAATGTCACGTCCTTATAGCGAAACAAAACCACAAAGCACTCTAATAAGCTTAATAAAAACATCGACCCTCATATCACTTCATATCACACACAAAAAATAACATGTTTCCTTGAGATAATATTGATGGCCACCATAAAACATGTCCATTGTCTTCATCCACCTGTATCTTTGGAAACCTCGTGTTGTAAGTTTGTCCGTCAACAGTCGACATCTATCACGGAAGTCATGCATGGTATTCGGAGTAAGCTCTCAAGTACTGAATCAACTACGACATGTCAACACCGTAGGTAGGGGAGCAGGGATGCTACAATAAACAAGAGGCCTAGATGGCCTGTATCGCTCACCTGGATATCGAAGCAATTATATGGCAAAACATTCTCCAAATGAGATCCAAGGGAATAGGCCAGAACCCAATGCCAATCCGTGTAGCAATCTGTATTAGATTTTAAGCATTTAGCAATTTTATGTATGGTTATTGGGTGGGGATCTCAACTGTTTACAAGCTGTGAATCAGAAACTGGTTCCTTAGGGTTGTGGCCCGACCCCAGGATCTATTCTAATACAGTGTATCATGACTGCATTTGTCTCTTTATGCCCAACAATTGTATGTACAGTTTTGGGGTGGGGATCTTTACTGTTTCAAAGTTATGACCAAGGTGTTAACGTCTCCAAGGATGGGGCAGACCCCAAGGCCATCCTCGAAGCTTATGTGCATTCATATCTTTATACTCAGCAATTGTATATATGGTTATAGGGTGGGGATCTCAACTGTTTCCAATCTGTGACTAAGAAACTAGATCCCTATGGGTTTGGTCGGTACCCAGGGTCTGTTCTAATATGATTATCATGACTGCATTCATCTCTTTATGTCCAGTACTTGTACATTATGTATATATAGTTTTGGGGTGGGGATCTCAATCGTTTAAAGTTATGACCCACGGACTATGTTTCCAAGGGTGGGGACACACACACCGTTTATACAAAATTGGTTCCCCTTCACCCAAGGATGCTCCACACCAAACATAGACCAAATCCTTTCATTCCTACAGAAGAAGGATTTTAAAGAAGAATTTGCTATATTTCCCCTATTTGGCCCCGCCCCTCAGGCCCCTGGGGGGCCAGACCCTCCATTTATACATATTGGTTCACCTTCACCCAAGGATACTTCAGACCAAATATGAAACAAATCCTTTCATTCCTACAGAAGAAGAAGGATTTTAAAGAATTTGCTATGTTTCCCCTATTGGGCCCGCCCCGCAGGCCTCTGGGGGGGGGGGGGGGGCAGACCCACAGTTTATACAAAATTGGTTACACTTCACCAAGGTATGCTTCAGACCAAATATGAAACAAATCCTTTTATTTCTACAGAATAAGAAGGATTTTCAAGAATTTGCTATATTTTCACCATTGGGCCCCGCCCCTCAGCCTCCAGGGGGGCCATACCCATCATTTATACACAATTTGTTCCCCTTTCCCTAAGGATGCTTCTGACTAAATTTGGAACAAATTCTTTCATTATTACAGAAAAAGAAGGATTTTAAAGAATTTGCTTGTTTCTTTTATTGGGCCCCACCCCTCAGGCCCCTGGAGGCCAGACCTACGGTTTATACAAAATTGGTTCCCCTTCACCCAAGGATGCTTCAGACCAAATATGGAACAATTCCTTTCATTCCTACAGAAGGAAAAAGATTTTAAAGAATTTGCTATATTTTCCCTATTGGGCCCCGCCCCTCAGCCCCAAGGGGGGGTGGGGGGGGGGGGCAGACCCACCATTTTACACAATTTGTTCCCCTTTCCCCAAGGATGCTTCTGACTAAATTTGGTCAAAATACGCTCAGTCGTTCATGACTAGTAGCGATTTCTATAAAAAGTTGACGGACGACGGACGACGGACGCCGCGCCATGGCACCTTCGGACCAGGTGAGGTAAAAAGGGGAAAGTTCACGATCGGAAAGTTGAAATTGTCCGGCTAATTAAACAGCTTAGCAGTAAGCCGTCTTTGTAAAGATAGAAAAAAGTGGCTGAAGTAAAAGAGTCTGTGGTGTCCTTGATTTCAAGATCTGAAGGGTATATACGATCGAACTAATCAACAGATTTTTTGTTATTTAAAGACACCACTTCTGAATGTGAAATTGAATGACTTGGCTAGGTTTTTGTTACAAACAATATTAAATCATATGTGTATTTACGGAGAGTGTTGTCTCAGGGAAGCAGAGGGATGGTGTCCGATGAAGGAATATAGGCCAATCTTTAAATAAAATCCTATTCCTTGACAAAAGTTGGTTGAAGGGAAGAAAGTAATTACAACAAGACCTTCAGTAAATTAAAGAAAATAAAACGGATTTTAATGTCAAATGGAGAAACTAATGGCATCTGCTCCCGTGGACCTTTGGACGGACATTCGAACCAGATGATCTAAATTATACTAACGTGGTTCTTCGTACGTTAAGTAATTAAATCACGAGAACCCTTTATATTTAAATAATCACAACAAAGAGCCTTGTTTTTCAAATGCAAATTTTATTACGAATATAATGGTTGATGAAGTGTATGTCAAGTATGTCAACCATTTATTTCCTCTATTGTCATCGAAGGGATTCCATTTCTTTCAAAGCCTCGTCGATAACTTCAGCTGCTTGAACTCTGCCAATATCTATGAACGCTGCTCGCAGTACAGTGTATTCACCATAACCAATGACACGCTTATCCATAAGACACTGGCAAATTTTAGTCATACTGTTCTGTGTTACACCATACACTTTGTCGTGTCCCAGATGCAGTGTCATTTGGTTTTGAAATTCCTCCCATTTGCCACCATCTCCTGGATATATCCATGAAGATAGTGATTGCACCATGTCGACATGACATTTCCGTACACTGGCATTGTCTGTAAACCTGTCTGCCATAGTACTCTGTGGAAAAAGAGAAATCAAAATGAAATGTACGGCAAAGCTGTCTTATGATGTAACATTAACTTAGATTACTACATACAGCTTTACTGATATATAAGATAAATTGGAACTATATCTGAAATTATTACAAAACTGGTTTTTATGTTAACATGCAAAAGGCGCCAAAGCAGTAGTTGAAACGTCATCAGGGGTTGTTGGGAGATATTTTCGTTTTAACATGTAAACAATATAGAAAGTTGCAGACCAAATTCGTCCTAACATTTTGCAGTTTAGTTTAAACATGCCTCCTTTCGACAGAGTTGTGCTATCCATAATGTCTCGCTATCCACAAAAGCCTCGATGTCGACAAAACCGTGCTATCGACGGCTTGTTCTCGATTCGCCGATTTAAAAATACATGAAATTAACTTCGGTTGTTTCCGTAAGTATTCGGGTTAGGACGTGTCGGGTGGTTGTCACGTGGTGTAGGGTATGTATAGGGAGCACGTGCTAGGTGCGCTCTTTCGAGTTCGTTGCTCATCACTGGATCTATAGTTGGTTGGTTGGTTGACGGGTTTCGCGCCTACATGAATCTGCCCTTACGGGGTCATCTCACTGACGGAAGTCAGTGTTCTGTCGGCGTACTGGATCTATACATGTTAATGTGCTTATATATAGTGTAAGGATAATTTTTTATAAACACATTCAAATGCAATTTTGTGTGAAAGTTCGTTGACCAGTGGGGATAGGATGTGTTTGGTTGCGGATTGTAATAAACGATTGAGTAACGAGCTATAATCCCATTTATGTCTTGTGTTATCATTTGAATTTAATTGATTTATATTCGGAGGAATATAATGAGGGGGAATATAACTGTGTTTTAGCAAGTTTATATCAGAGACGTATATGTAATAAATACGTCTCTGGTTATATATAATGTATCACTAAAGATATTAAAGTGTACCATGAGCGAAAATAGAAATGAGCATATAATTCTTCTTCATGATCCAAAAACAAAAATGTCGAAAATCGCATAAAAATTGGTCAGTCCAATACCGAAATTTCTTTTTTGTAATTTTCTTTTATTTAAGATTTTTTCGCAATATATGGTATAATTACAATCAAAGATTTCATATTATATATTTATACCTCACACGACTCATATTCATACTCTTACTGACATCAGTTGACATACTTGACGCCAGTACATGTAATGGATTCAGTAAGCGACTCCTCTGATCCATCTAGTATAAGTGAACTGTCATCTGCGTATTGTGAACATATAATTGGAAAATTGTTAATATTTATACCTTCTATACTCTATATTCTTTTATACCGGTTATTTCTCAACCGAATTGCTAGTATTTCAGCGCAAAGAATAAAAATATACGGTGCGATCGGATCGCCTTGACGACAGCCTCTTTTGACATCGAAAAATTGAGAAAGATTATCTCCTTGGTTTATAGCAGAACTTATATTACAATGAAAAACTTTAATCCAATTTCTAATGCTGCTATTTCCAAAATTAAAAAAACTCTAACACTTCATCAATGAATTTCCATGAGACTGAGTCGAATGCTTTTTCAAAATCTATCATAAGTAACATCCCAGGTATATCTTTTTCTTCAGTATAATGCATTATGTCATAAATAAGTCTAGTATTTTCACCTATATATCTACTTGCTAAAAATCCAGTCTGATCTATGTTGATAAGTTTCTTACATTAAGATCTATACTGTTTTTACCCTATGTGCTATTGTTCCTGACGCTATTTTATATTTAAAAGAGAAATAGGACGCCAGTTTTTGATGAAGTGTCTAGGTTTATTATCTTTTGGAATGCAATTAATGTTACCCCATCTTTGAACAATGGAAAATTGACCAATTTCATAACCAAAATTTATAGATCTTACTACAAAATCACCAAGTTGTCTCCAAAAGCATTTAAAAAATTCAGTAGTGAAACCATCAGACCCTGGGCTTTTATTATGTTTCATATTTTTCATTGTCAAAGAGGCTTCTAATTTATTAGATTCTGTCCTATTCAATTTAGGAACTTCAAAATTTTCTAAATAATCTTCTAAAACATCATCCTCTATATTAGTGTCTGCTGCATATAGTTTTACATAAAATAATATAACTTCTTCAAGGATTTCTCTCTGATTTGTAACAATCTCCCCATTTTCTTTTTACAATTTCTGAATAATCTTAGAAGTGAAATTTCTATTCTCCAAATTAAAAAAATATTTGGTAGGCTTTTCCCTTTCTTATAACCATTTAGCGCTTGATCTTATTATTTTCCCCTTAATCTTATGTAGCCTGATAATTTCTAACTCAGTTTTTTCTCTCATTTAGTTCCTAAACATCTACATTATCCCTATCTTCTAAATCTTGTATTAAATCTTTTAGCTCTTTTTCTCTAGAGTTTTGTTGTTTTTTCCTATACGAGGTATAAGAAATAGTTTCCCCTCTTACCGCCATTAGAAGAGTATCTAAAAAAAGTTGATCATCAATTGTAAACTGAATCAATTCATTTGGGATTTCCGATAAACTATTAACGTTATATATGGGTAGAGAATACTGCAATTTAACTTTAGTAATTGTTTTATTGATAACATCAAGAAAGTCTTTATCAGATAATAGAGAGTTATTAAACTCCAAAGACCCTTTCCCCTCTTAAATGTATTAAACTTTAAAGAAATGATTGGAGAAGAATGGTCCGATCTGTATCCAGCATCTATACCTGCATTGTTCACACCACCCAATAAACACTCTGAAACTAGAAAAAATCTTAACGTGCTTGCTTCAATGGATTAGTCTTCCTCCAAGTATATCTTTTTGTATCAGTGTGATGTTCTCTATAAATATCTACTCAACTAAATGTATCTATAATTTCCAGAACCTTATCCCTAGCCCTTGGATTATTAACTTGTCTATAGTTTTGATCGTAATCAAGCTCTGGGTTTAAAACTAGATTAAAATCTCCACACATTATCACCGAATCATTTTTAAAATCGTTTATAGTTTTTGATATCATTTTTTTTTTAAATAGGGAACAATAAGTGTTAATCATGAGCCCTCTGTTTCTAAATCTAGTCCCAAAAAAATTATATGATGAATCTTTTTTTTTTCCTTATTTACTTTAAATTCAAAATTGTTGTTTCACAGCACTGCACCTCCCCTCCAGTTCGACTTATACGAGGTAAAATAACAACTTAAACCCCACTCATTTCTTACTATTTCTTCATTCTCTACTGTAAAATGGTTGTCTTGAAGAAAATATATTTTATATGATTAACTCGTAAGTACGAAAACACTTCCTTTCTTTAAACATTCTTACCTAACCCTTGACAGTTTGTCGAAAAAAATTTGTAATGCAGTCAGACGGTCACCCTTAAAAGCGTCTTCAACCGACAACAAGCGTCTTCAAGGGACAACAAGCATCGCCAGACAAAATCTTTAAAAATACTGAATAAAATAAGCGACATCAGAAGATATGTTGTTAATATGACTTTACTACACCTTTATACCAATTTTCCAAAATTTGACCGAGTTATGATGAATTGAAATTTTACGATCGGCGGCGTGGCACATATGTGTGTATTAACCTGTACAGTTAAGAAAGCGTCGCTAGACAAAATGTTTGAAAATACTTACTAAAGCAAGCGACATCAGAGGATATGTTATTTATAAGAATTTTATGTACCTATATACCAAAATGCAGTTAGATATTTTAAAAAATGACCGAGTTATGATGAATTGAACTTTTACGATGGGCGGCGTGGCCCACGTGTGTGAATTAAACTCGGCAGATCGTGAAGCGTCTTCAGATTAAACGTCCAGGAAGCATAAGAAGAAGAAAAGGATACTATCGCAGTCAAGTATAAATCACAGATTACGTACTTTTATCACAGATAAGTTCGTACTTTTATCATCAAATATTTTGAGTAGCCCGGTTTGAATTTAAATGTTTGTTTGGATTCACGGGACTAAAATTAGGTACACCTTGACAGTCCAAACAAACACTAAAATTGATTATGTAATTCCGTAATAGTAGACAATAGACTTTTTATTATAACAGAAACGTACATTGATGACTCTATCGGCAAATTTCTTAGCCATCAATCACCAGAGAAACAAGCCAATCATCGTTCAAGGTAAGTACCCCACCTTATCAGTGACCCCGCACTCCTGTGAGCACAAAAGCTGAATGGCTACTAAATATTGGCGTCGCGTTCCGAGTGAACAATTCAAAATGGGTAATTACATATATAGTTATATTGTCGGATGAAACTGAGACAATGAATTGATCAGCTAAAGTCAGAATACTATCTCATCGGACAGCAACGCAGACGTTTTTTCATGGTAAATAGTTTCAAATCGTTGAGAATTATTTGCTTGAAACATATTTCATTTCCAAATAAATTTGAACAAGGTAGTGGTCACAAATTATTACAATTTATCATAGCATTCTTAATGTTAGTATCCATTCACATAATAAATTATTAATCATCTAAAAAAATCTACGCGAAGTTAACGAAAGCCCTTCGAAGTACAGCGTTGCTCGTCGTAATCAATTGTACATTATTTAGAATCTTTATAAATACACAAACTTATTCAATTAACTTTGGAGAAAAGCTGTAACAAGACTCGGGACTAACATATATGTTGCTGTAATATTTCATGTTCAAAATTAGATATTGCCCCGTGCACGGGATTGGATAAAGTCTGTGGTAATGCATTCATATAACTTGACGTGTTTTTTAAAGACTTAATTATATTTCGATGAATTCGACATATACTTAGTAAAAGTATATTCACTTTTGAAAAGCATATAACTTTGGTATGTTAATAGTAGATGTGTATCTCTAGGAGTCCATTCAAATTGGAACGCGGAATTAGGCAAAAACATTAAATTGGTAAATGACAACCTACTCATTGTCTACCCTTCATAAGATTGATCAGTGACCTATATCTGGTAAAAATATTAATCTAATTTTATTTTCACGTTTTATCAATTTGCTACTGTTAGATAAACCGGTTTAAGCTTGTCCAAAACAGACTATTTCTGAGTTAATCAATTAATTGAAAGAACTTCGAATCATATACAATTTATATACTATTTGAATTTCATAGTCATTTCAATTTTTCGTCTAATATAGTACCATTATTTTATAACTATTACCATGATATATATTAATTATAGTTGTTATATATATTTTATCATTACGTCCCGTTATATATTAGTTATACCATTACGTATATATATGGATTTTATTCATTAGATATATTTTATCATTACGTGCATATTTTAGCTATAACTATTAGACATATTTTATCATAACTTATATATGGATTATAATTGTTAGATATTTTTCATCACATGATCTCATTATTGAACATAATTGAAGAATGTATGAAAGTTAAATGTGTTTGGTCTTTCATAAAAATATCTGGACATATGTTTTCGTCTTCTATTAAGTATTGGTTGGTGTGTACAGATAATGGAATTCGCCGCCAATTTCTCTTAATAACACAAATTACATAATATATTTTTCACGTGGTATATTGCACCGACCACTTGGTAACTAATTATTACATATTCTTTATTTTGAATTTACAATACACTTTGACTAGTTTCGGAGGGAGTTCTAGTATTTAAGTACTTTTCTAAACAAAGTTTGTACTTATTCAGAAATACTGAAAGCTGTAAACTTATTTACTATTTATTAGATGTTTTAATTGTTGATTGCATTAAATAATACATAATGAACATAATGTTTCATGTTTCATCTTTACACTGAAACGAAAATATAGAGACTTTCTCTATATTTTCGTTTCAGTGTATAGATGAAATGATTTTTTTATGATTTTAATGAAGAACACGCCGATGTGTATGTTGAGGTCATTCTGATTGGTTAAAAGTTTTTTTGGGAGAAGAGCGATAACTCTATATATCCGCTTGGTGGCAGTGGAGGGAATTATGAAACATGGCTATATCCGCCAAGGGTAGATGAAGTGTATACGTGAATACTTGGCTAGCAAAGATAACGACGGACCAGACGGAGGGTGATTTAAATAGCCCGCCATCAGATGATGGTGGGCTAAAATTATGATGATGAAATAAGAAGATTCCTTTTAAATATTTAGAATACTGCTTAAAATAAGATATATTGCATGACAATTGTCAAATTTCTTAAATCTTCACCATATTTTTATGGCAGTTATTTTTCCTTATCAGGAAATCTTTGACTAGGAAGATTGACGAAGGACTAGTAAATAATCTATTAAACTAAAGTCTTGTGGACTACCAAGCAAAACATGTAGTGTCTACTAACCCTGTATTCACTGCCAGATATGCAAATATATTAGGTCATTGTTGTCCCGTATTAACGACTTGGTTGTTTGTGTTTTCCGACGTTGATTCAGATTTTTAAAACTCCTTTTTATTTCGCTTGCTATAATTTCATGTCATTCGAACAGAGCTGACAGAATATGTTCAATTTTGTTCAAACAGACTGAAGGTTTACCGGCTACTGGCTACAAATGATTCATTCATAAAACCGCTGATTATGGCAATATGGGCTCCAAAACAGGTTCGTTACAAAAGACTAATACACATGTACAAATACTACATCAAAACAGTTCCCATATCAGTATAACAAACCCCTGTGTACTAATATTGTAATGTGGTAAACAACATACAAAGAATAAACCATTATTGTCAACAATCAGGGAAAATCCTGGAATTTGGGAGCAGAGGGCCATTTTCAGCAATTTTAAGTCAATATTAAAATGTCTATTAAGAGGGGCCCTTCGAATTCTACGTAAAAGAAAAACATTATACACGTTGTCATACCAAACCGAAAGCAAGAAGTGGAAATTCCGATGAGTCAGGTTTCGAAGATAAAAAAAAATATGCACACACGTACAGTACAGTAGCTTCTGTGACCGTGACAAATTATTTGCATATTTTTTTTATCTTCGAAACCTGACTCATCGGAATTTCCACTTCTTATTTCGGTTTGGTATATGTCAGCATGTATAATTCAGACTTCTGTGGACTATTTATCTTATTTCTATCAATGTCACATTGTAAATGAACAATGATTTATTATTCCGTAACAAGCTTTAGATGTGACGATTTTGTGTAGCGCGATTACAACACCCAGTTTACAAACAGGAGGATTAAATAAAACAGGACAGTCATGACCGCGCCAGAAGAAATTATGAAATGGCAGACAAACGTGAACTAATTTCTATATTAAACAAAGCAACATGAATACAACGTTTACAAAGAGACTGATGACTTCTCGTGTTACCTTGTGATTAAATAAAAAAGCGCCGGAGCCTTAAATCTTCGCACACGTCTGCTTCACTGAAAAATGTCTACTGAAATCAAAAAAGCGTAACCTAGCGGATAGAAATGATACTAAAGCAAGTTATCTGGTCTTGCTGACGCCCCTTTTGTTGGTGCGTCGAAACAAGGGACGTTTATAGGGTTCATTGCCAGAAGGTGCTATCTGGACTTGTTTACTTTTCGAGATAATAGAGATTAAAGGTTTTAAATACATACATTTTAATCATGCTTTATATGAGGGATTTATTATTTGGTAATATTAATGGCCTGTATAAGTACTTTTTACTGTACAGTACTTTTGGTCATATGTCTTTTAAACTGCCATATTCAAAATGCTCGATAGCTCCTTTTGGCCGGCGAAATTTACCTCAATAATAATGAGCAAAAAAAGGTGCTACATGTATCTATAGATAGCCCCTTCTGGCAGAGATAATTTCTTTTAAACTATTAACAAAAAAGGTGTTATCTGGTTAGCATCATATTACATTACAAAATCTTTCCATTTAATTGTTTGAAATTTATTATTTGAGGTTATTTTTTCTCATGTTATTGCAGGAAGAATCTCTCTTACTATTTATTCTGTGAATCATAGCGTATTCTTAAGCATCAAGATAATTAATAATACGTTTGTAATCGTGATCATCCATACAGGAACATTTTTTGGACTTTTAGATGTCTTTTCATTCTATTCACCATCCTTGTCAATGTTATATTCTATGACATCAGATTCAGGTAATTTATCCTTTAATGTTTTCGATTTTGGGAACATTTCATAAAATTGCAAGTACTCTTCAGGAATGATATGCGATGAATACAAACAACGAAGATCCCTCCTTTATGATCTGTAATTGGAAGACTTTCAGTGTATCGTTTTGGCAAAGGCAAGTCATCGATCACCCAATGTTGTCTCTCCAAGAAGCTGGCCCACACTTCATCGTTCTGAAGGAGGATTTAAGTACATATCTTTAATTTGATTATCCCAGGTTGTTCTTTTGTATGTTGTATATGTTTGATATCCTTAATATGTTTGATTGCCTTAACTTATCCTTCCCCGCTGTCCTTTGTCATCAAGAATGGTGTTTGTGGTGTACGATATTGACATGTTCTGAAGATCCAAGAAATCCAAATGCTTCATAGGTATATGACAGAGTATGGATTTGAAAGCCTTTACAGTATCCTATTGACCTGTAAGCAAAACTGACGTAAGGTTCTTTGCAAATTCAATTGCTGAATGCATATTATTGCACTCCATCCGGGTGTGTCGGGGTTCAAGAAACTACTGATCCATAGTATTTGCGGTCGCGCTCAAAGACACAGAGTTAAACAATGAAGTTGTAATAAACTTGATCTTGTTCTGACCTCCGCAGGTATCAGAGAACAAGGTTCCATGCTAAACTGCATTTGGTAAAGAGATTAGGTATAATTAAAGACAGCTTCCCCTTTTGTCCTCTGTTTTATTCCATAGATAGTACTGTCCATCAAGTGAATGAACAGTTAGGTTATAACAACACAGTTTTCTCTTGTAGTATGCCGAATTATCAAGTGAACAAGTTGTAGTTTGCGTTGTTGGTGTTGTTGATATTTGTATTTCAAACAGACATCTACTGTTTCTAGTGCTTCTTTCTGTGAATATTCATTGCAGATGTTACATTGGTCCTTTTTTGGTGTACGAAAGGACAGGTTGTACTCTTTGCAAAACGTATTTCGGTTCACATTGGCAGAAAGAACTTTTTGGTGATTTTTCCTTTTCTTTTCTTTATACAGGGGAATCATTTTATTTATTGTCGGGTCAATACTCAAGTATTTCGTCTTGGAATCGTTGCTGGTGAAGTGTGATTCAACTGTTGGAATAGCTTGATGTGTTGTCTAACAGTCTTTGTCAGTCTCTTGGGTCCTATTGTGTGGACTTTTACGGCTCTTCCTGTCGCAAACTGACCCTGATACTTTCTTTTTCAATACAGTCTATAATCATTTGGTTTTTCGTGTAAGTACATGTTCACGAATGAAATCACGTTGTCGATCATTTGACTGTAAATTCCAGTATGAATTAAAATGTTCCTGTCGTGTTACGATTTATCAGTGAAGAGTTATTTCCCTTTAGTTGCTACACCTAAGTGAGGTGCGTTAGTGATTGCCGTTACTTTGAACGCATGGCAGCGTGGAGAATGTTTGTGTTTCCAAAATAAGAGAATCCAAGGTGTAAGTGACATGTAAATTAACATAATCATGACAGATTTATCATATATAAGCCAATGACTCAATCTGTGGACATTGTGTCCGATCAAACTATATAAATATGTGATAATTCGTACTGATTGCCAAGTTCAGTCAGTGATTACGACTCATGCGTCAGGACATATACGCAAATAGAAGTTGCTGTTATAGTGTTGTCATACAAACTTGTCAACATACATAATGTATACCTTCAATACCTCCAGATGTATGAGAGGAAGTCTGCTTTTGCTGCAGTCTTGTTCCTGTACGTCTCTCTTTTTAACAATTTTTCCTGTAGTACTAAGATATTCCTGTCCTTTTTTGTCTCTCATTTTTTGTTTATATTCTTTTTCCAGGTTTCCAGTTTACGTTTACAGTTTTTATTTAACATTCATGTGTGAGTAATTTCTTTGGTGGTGTTGAAACAATTTCTTGTTTTCGTGTTTCAGGATTTTTGGTTCTCTTTTCCATTTCTTTGGGTAAATTCAAAAGCTGACATATTCACATTTGGTCTATGTTGTGCATCTTCTATTGTTAGGGTGACACAAGTATCTTTGTGTTCCATTCCAAGTAGTAAGCAGTTTCTTTTCTAAGAATTTTGTGAGTTCTGCTCCTTTTCATTCGAGTTGAAATTGCTTGAAAGAGGCAATTGCTATTCTATGCAATATCCTGCCATTTTAATCCATGGTTTTTTAAAAGATGCATCAACCTTATGATATTTAAATGGTTTTTTTTCCTGAATTGTGACTTTCATTTAGCTTGGAAATGGACATATAAAAAGAGATTTTTTTCATCAGTTGTTGAATGTTTTTTTCTGAAATTTAGTGTGCATGTACCTCAATTATGTTTGAGAAATATTGGAGGATTATTTTGTGACATGGATTGGTTAATGCTAACGGAATACATTATTGAATTTGATATACAGTTTGGTGTGGCAGCCATATTGGAATGACCTTAAGGAGTATACCAGGCAGCCATATTGTCTCACGGATAATTCAAAGGAATGGTGCCGCAACGCAAAGAAAAGTATGGAGAATAAAGAGAGAGAAAGAAGAGAGGAGCGAGAGATAGAGAAAAAGAAGGAAAACGAGTTAAGATACATCATCAGTGGTCAACTGGTATCGACTACTGATAACTCACGCATACTTTTTGTTTCGCCATCCACACGACAGGAAGCCAAGTGTATAACCGGAAGTAGATCGTTAGTATGTAAAACATACATGATTATTTCCGGATTTTGTAAAAAATGAAACGATCTTTTCTTCTAAGTTATACTGAATAAATGATATATCATAATATAAACATAGGATATTGAAAGTAACATCAATAATAAAATAGCCACACAGCACATGAAATTAATTAATAATTATTAATGATTAAATATAATAGTACAAAGGTATTATATAACCATCATCAAATGTTACATCAAGTGTAGTTGCAAAACATGTACGTTCATTCGAGTGTACACCGCTTATTGTGAAAAAGTAATTACGCTAAAACTTGAGAGAAAAGAGAAAAAAAATCCAATAAAACTATATTCTTCCAAATTTATATATACAAACACATATAAATACTTTTCTGTCTTATCATTAATAATATCTCTATACTTGTTCTCCAATAAGAAGAGACGTCAATAAAAAGCGCTGAAGTTGTGATCAGCATTACTGAACGTATAGTCATACTCAATATGTTACAATCGCTGTATATCGAGAACTGATCTATATTAATCGCATCTGATATTTATAAACACTTAACAAATACAATATTTACTCCAATTGATACATTTAGTAAAGTTACATATTCATTGTATATTGTATATTATGTTTTAGACATACGTACTGCAGCACAGAACTATAGCCGGACGAAAAAGGGAGCATCTCAAAATGAGAAATCAGAAACATTCTGAGGACAACAACAAAATGCATTGATTTGATCAGTATAATATAACAATCCCGATATATTGACATGTAAACTGTACGATTTGCACCTGTCCTTCTACTACTAATTAGCATAATCGTAACTCGCGGTGAATGGGACAATATCAGCTGTGACGTCACAAGTTCAACGACTGTAGCAGCCACATGGGAAGAAAAGGTGAGATGAGAACATACCGCGTCAGATTGCGAGTTAAGATTTGTTTTAAGGTACCCAATTATGCTGAACATGCCATTATGTAAATGGTATCCAGCCATGTCAAGTTTGTCATCATTTTCAGACAGCGAGTTTAACTGAAACCAAACTGACGACCCTGAAGAGGGTAACACAGGCTGGTAGCATTACATATCCAGTTTCTGAGCACTGATGATAAATTTGTCTTATCATCTTATTTGAGGGAAATTAAATAGCAATACTCTCTATGTTGTTGATCAAAAATGTGTTTTCTTTAAGTTTAGCTGTAAGGTCAGTTGCAATCATTTTCTTTACTCTACAGTCTACAGTGAGAACTTATTCCATTATGTCGTCGTTGAACAGCACCATTTCGTGACCAGTTTCTGTGCCGGAATATTTGTATCGCAAAGATATATACTGTGGTACCGCTACGGTTCAAAAATACGGAATTTTATCAATGTAAAATGTTTACAAAATAACTTCAACGTTGGTGTCTGCTATGTTTTTGAATGGCAATAAAATGCATATTTTAAATATTACCGTATAATATTGACGACATTGTGTCTTCCTTGTGTTGGTCGACAATTCAAAGTTACACTTATTTTCATACAATACTTATGTATGTGATGCTAAGGTACATATATTTCGAAAACGTATATGAATTATGAGATTTTAAAAATAAATCCATATAATATGCACAAGTTATAATTGAGTTGGTTATTATTTGGTTCAATAATGAA